GCAAGGACAGACCTGGAACGTGGCACCATCTTTGACGATGCCCTTCTCGCAAAGCATTGTGAGAGAATGTTGAAACGCTTCAAATGTAACCCATCCTTGAGCGAGGCAGACTTCACTTACGTGCATACGTGAGTCCACTATCTAAACTCATGTTGGCTTGTTTATTTTGGATTCATTCTTTCCAAACATAAATGTAAACATAATTTTGTTATCCTGCTCCAGTTCTTCTTCCCTGTGCATATTAACAGGCATTATTTCTACTTCTCTATTGATATAGCGAGAGGTAAGTATGTGTGCTTAGAAAGCACGTCATGCAAAATAGTTTCCAAACCAAATGCCTACCACTGAGCCAGAGGGTTGTCACCTACGAGACCACCTTCATCAAGTCACTTAATGGAAAGGCGAGTTTTGAAAGCTTTGAATTGGAAGTTCTTGATTGCCCACAACAGCAAGATAACCACAACTGCGGTGTGTTCTGCTTCAACTTCATGGAACAATATGAGGGACACTTCACAGACAAGCAAAAAGAATTTTGGAAAGATCACGACGAATGAAACTTTCACTGAGCCCGCATTGCAGCGAGGATCTTGATGCATGACCACAACACCATGTTGTCAGCCCTTTATTCATAGGCAGAGAGAAAGAAAGGAAGCTATAACCTCAAAACCAAGGTTGTAATTAAAAATAGCACTACATCACCATAGTATGATTCGTCTAGGTTGACATTGCCCCTTTGGGGCCGTTTTGATTGGAGTAGGTTGACATTGCCCCTTCGGGCCATTTTGGTGCTTTCTGATAGATTCTACAAGGGAATGCCATGCAATGTTGCATTCTAGCACTAGCAAGTTTCACTATGATCTTGAACAGGATTCCTTTTGACATTTAGACTGTGCATTCTGACAATGTCAACCTCCTCATGTACTAAGTGGGACAGACAATACTCTAAGAGTAATACTTTTGAAGCACATTCAATAATTATCTGACTAATACTATTTCTGGAAACTTACAATAACAATTCAGGAAATGGACAATGTAAATACTTACTAAAAATATGCTTTCCTAACACATAAATATACACTTGTGAAAATGGATAATGTAGCAATATCGACCACGGAAATACGCATTCTGCTCGCTCAGAATATGACCTAAGCAATTGGTATTTGTAACTAGTACACGCTACAGCCGGCGTGAAACTAAGGTAAACCATTTTAATGAAACACTTTATCAGGGACATACTCAAAACTAAACTACTAACTAATGTACATAACTTCTCCGCAATGCATTTGCATTTTCCCTTCTCTATCACCTCCTCAGTTATTACAACATATACATAAATAAATACATCACTTTTCCCTTACAAGGAGAAGGTTCATTATAACATTATGTAGTTTATACTATAAATATGGCCCAGACATAATAATAACTAGATTTTAAAAACACAACAATCTCTAATCGTCCAACTCATTATCTTATATATGCTCCAGTTTTCTCGTCCACAGAAACTCACTTCGAACATTTCACTCTTCTTCGCAATTCAAACCTGACTTGGGGACCCTATCGTTCTGCAACTAAGTAATGGAGAAATAGTTACAATACAAAATATTGAATTGTGTTTAATTTCCTCTACTATTGTAAACCTACATTAATAACTAAAGAAGTAACATAGCGATAGATACAACATCCAACTGGATAAACCAACTGCAAAACTATTGTAGCTTTCCAAATCAACCCACCTTGGCCAACAAATAAATACATGAACAAAACATCCTACAACAATATCAAACAACAACATGATATCTACTCACTCCTAAATAACAAGCGGTTTACAAATAGAAGCATATGCATCAACATTAAAGACAATGAATACGATTATAAACTCCTCTGCTGAAAATTCATACAGAACAACTGGACAAGACATGTTAACACTAAAAATTCACGATTGGACAAATCTATAGTTCAATACGATAACTCTCTAATTCAGATCCCTCAATGGACATGCCAATTGTTCCCTAAAAAAAATAACATAAAACATCACTTATAAGTTAGCTTGCACACGATCAGGAACACGAGGATGTTATAGCTACTACATCATTCCTACCATAACTTAAGAGGATATTTGAAATAAGCATGAAAATCTATGCACGACAATCAATTTTCGATTCTATGGTCGATTAAGTTATAATTTAACATATTGCATCAATCGGATTGGTGAAACTCACCTGTGGGAAGGGGGTGTTGTTAGGTCTTTGACAAATTCAGCCTCCAAGGGCCACAACTAGGGGCGGAAATCGGTACGGTATTGGTATCCCAATGCCAAATACTGAAATCTCAAATACCGAATTACACCCTAAAATCAATCCCAATTCCAATCCCTAAATATTTCGGTATCCAAATCGGTACTTCGGTAATTGGTATTATCGAATACGAAATTAATTATCTTTGCAATTAATAATTAAATATATAAATTAGATTTTATTGTTTAATTTAGGGCAAAGAGACTAAGCAAATAGTCTTGAGTTTGCCTAGAGCTAGGATATGGATAAGGAGAATGGAGGAGAGGTGACATCTCAAATTCTTGTCATTAGTAATCTTTAATTTGACGAATTAGAGGTTGAGAGACGACTAATACTAGTGTTTGATTTTTGGTGTTATGAAAATAACAAGAGATTAAGTGAGCGACTAGAGTGACTTCAATTGGAAAGCCAAATTTGAGTTGGATGGGGACTTCTAAGTTGTGAAATAGTGATGGAATGATCTATCTATAATTAAATGACACTCTTGGTGATTGAGGGTCATGTAGTAGTGAATGAGAGAGTCTAGTTGAGAGGATAAAATACATCCTATCTTGTATTTCGGTATATACCGATCTCAATCCCAATCCCAATCCCGTAATTCGTAATACCGAATAACAATTGAAATTCAATACCAATCCCAATTTCAAAAAATAATACGTGTATTCGGTAATACCAAATATAGACAAATTTGATACGGTATTCAGTATATCCCAAATACCGATACCAAACTTCTAGCCCTAGACGTAGCGAAGCCCAGTCTCAGAGAATGATACAATAATATATTCTGCATTAAATGAAATCATATTCGACAAAGAATAAAAGAATATTTAGGGTTTCACCCATCTGAAATTTATATTTTACTGAGAAGAAAATCAAAACACACTTAGCGATTTAGAACGGAGGTGGGAAATATTTTTTCAATTTTTTCAACAAACAAAGTCGATCGACGAAGGAAGATCTCTATGAGATGGAGAGAGACAGGGTAGAGAGAGAAGGAGACGGATTTGCTTGTCAATTTAGTGGGATGGAGTGAATCAAAGAAAGCTCAAACTTATTTAGCTTTCTCTCGATAATTTGAATTTAGTATGAAATTTTGAATTTTGGATCTAGTTCAAAATACAAGAATTTGGGATTTTATATAAAATTTGGAAATCTCAATTTCAGAATGAAATCTTTGGAGCCGATAGGCTTCAAGCCGTCTCAATGAATGTCGTTAGGTGTGGAAATTGGAGTGGGTGTGGTTACCAGCCCCACATTTTGTTGGTATCCACACTCACATTACAATTATGCTACTCATAACTCGCACCGCAATGGTTAGTGGGTAATCATTACCCACTTCGAGTTGGGTGTGGTTACCCGTAAAAATTCATATTTGCAAGCATGAAGTTGATGCTGCCACTAACGTATTTGTTCTTCATAGCTAGACTATAGTAATAAACAATTGTGTTGTTCGTGTAAATACAATTTTGTATATTGATCTTACTCAAAATGGAGATTTTTTTCTTTTCAAGTTTGGTATTCAACTTTTGTGTTAGGGAGCTGTGATTTCATATTTCACCAATTAGGGGTTGAATATGACAATTAAATATTTTGTATTTTCTTTCACACAAAAGTAAAAAACATGTAGATAAAAATTACAAAAGGTGTCTACTTTTAATGAATCTAATATTCTCCAATCTCTCGAATATAGTGTTTTATAAACTAAAAAAAATTTCACATATTTTGATGGCTACTTTAATTTTTAGACTAACACTTTTTACATACTATTATATTATAAAGTTAATTCAGTACATAAATATAATTAATGTGGTCATTGTAAATTTTGTGGGTTAGCTTCCGTGGATTGGCTGGCTCATTTTCCCATGTCCAACTTGATCCAAGATCCAAACCCGAATCGCATTCGTCCCCATTTAGGCGAGGGCAAGGTTGTCAAACCGGTTTAAGTCATTGAGCCGGTCAAGCAAGAGGTTTGAGGTTTTAATGGTCTGATCAGGGTCTGGCCGTTTTGAGCTATTTTAGATATTTTCTAAATATATATACAAATAAGGTAGAAATTAAAGATTTAATGACCGAAATAAAATTTATCTTACATATATCTATTAAAAACTTATTTTTTACAAAATAAATCTACCTAACTTCCATGATCCACCCGCCATCTCACTTCCTTCGTTCCTCTTCCTCTCTCTTCTGCTCCCTCTTTAGAGGTCAGACTGAGGAGCTTTCCGGGTCCAACCGTGGGTCTAATAGGTAGGGCTGGCTATTTGGACCGGGACCGGAAGAAAAATCGGAAACTGGACAGGATAACCCGGACCGGGACCGAATAGTAAACAATCCAATCCAATCTTTGGGCTTAGATTTGAGGTAAAAAACCGGATAAAGACCGGATAAGAGAGCTTAACACCCAAAACTTAAGGGTAATTTGCATAAACGGTCACAAACCTTTGCACTTAGTACAAAACTTAACCAACTCCTCACCCTTTTAGGCCTTAGGCCACTCAAATTCCCACAATCTCAATATAAAATCAAGATCGAATTGGGACCGGACCGGATCAAGACCGGACTATATCCAATCCAATCTTTGGTCCTTATATTTTCAAAAAAAACAGACTGGACCGGATCAATTTGGACCAATTTAACCGGACCGGACCGTATAGCCACCCCTACTAATAGGGGTTTAACAACTTTGGGCGAGGGAAACACACGAAGAAATGACAAACGCGATGAGGTCATCAAGACCAGTAGTAGCACTGGGTCAGAGTCTATCCAATCTAATCCCCAGGCCACTATTGGCCCATCCCGTCTCTGTCTTAACTCGCCCCCAATCTCAGCCATTACTCTCTCGCCCACAAACCTTCAGCTCAACAGCACCAGAGGGGAGAGACTTCTGAATCTTCCGACTCCTCCTGCAGCACGCTTCCGCCATGGCGTTCCCAGTCGTTGACGCCGATTACCTCAAGGAGATCGACAAGGCCCGCCGCGATCTCCGCGCTCTCATCGCCTACAAGAACTGCGCCCCGATAATGCTCCGTCTGGCGTGAGTATCTCTCGCTTCCCTCCCCCCGTGCTCGATTTTGGCTCGGTTGCTGATTCTTATCGCCGGATGTGATACAGTTGGCACGACGCCGGGACGTACGATAAGAGCACCAAGACCGGCGGCCCGAATGGCTCCATAAGGAACGATGAGGAGTTGGCTCACGGTGCCAATAGCGGCCTGAAAATCGCCCTTAGTTTCTGTGGTCAGGTTTCTTTTCGTCGTTTTTCTTGGTTTTTCGTTTCCAGTGGCTCTGTGGATTGTTGAATTGAATGTTTTCTCTATTGCTCTGTTAGAGGAAGTGAAGGCCAAGCGTCCGAAGATTACTTACGCCGACCTGTTTCAGGTGAGTAATTGATACGAATTTGCTTCTGATGGCCATCGCGGTTGCGATTCTACATTTTGAAATAAATAGTGCACTATTAACGAGTGTTAATCCTAGAGGTTTAGAAACTGGTGAATATACATGCGTGCCTAGATTATATTTGTGGTTGCTGGATACCCATTGTATGCTTATCTTATCTTGTACTGATTTCTCACTAGAACTGTGTGCTTTGTACACTTCTTGTTCAATTGTTGATTCATGACCTCATCGTCGGAGTGTTGTTGATGCAGGTTGCACTGATGACGAGAACCTGATATATGCTCAGGTTTAGAATTGGTGATTGTTGCCTACTTATGGTACTTGTACTTGTGCATGCAGCTTGCTGGTGTTGTTGCAGTTGAGGTAACTGGAGGTCCAACCATTGACTTTGTCCCCGGTAGGAAGGTGTGTGAATGTGCAACTACAAGTTAGTTGACTTGGGTATTCAGTTGATTACATCTTTCAAAAGTTACTGACTGGGATTTTCTCTCTATCAGGATTCAAAAGTTTCCCCCAAGGAAGGGCGACTTCCGGACGCCAAACAAGGTATTCAGGGTTTTCGAATTTTAAGAGTTGGATAGTATTATTGGTATTCAGGGTTCATTCAGTAAATGAATCAGGGTTCATTCATTTGTAGTCAGATAACATGAATCAGGGTTCATTCAGTAAATGGTATTGTTTAGCACAGGTGCCACTGAGATAAGCACTCCACTGAGATGAGTACTTCTTTTTGAGGAGAAATGTCGACCTAACACTTGATTTTTCGTAATATTCTCCTAACTGGTTGTTATTAATAGTCGATGATTGAAGGGCTTTTCTTAACCAGATCTTTGTTAAAAAAAGTCATCTTACTGAACATAGACCATTGCACCAGTTATTTTTGGAATTCCTAGTAGATAGCTAACCTCTAAAATCAGCATTTGGTAGATTCCCGTACTGTTATTTTACGAGTCAGTGAAAGCTTCGTTGATTTGAATCAGCCTCCCTTGGTTTGATTTTATTGATCCTTCACTTCCCCGACGTGTCTAGATGAAGCATGTAGGTTTCAATTTACAGCATCTAGGTCATATAAGCTCATCCATTAGAATTCTTGCACTATCTTGAGGACTAAGTTGAGTATCAGTCATGAAATAGAGCTCTTTGGGTCCTCTTCGCGATGTTTCTTCTTGTTATATGATTTCCTAGTTGTCATAGAGATGTTCTTCATTACTGGTAATTTATTCTCTTAACCACGTGGAACTCTTGTTTTGGATAACTGGACATCCTTCCGTCTTTGCTTGCTTGCTCAGGGCATTCTTCAAAGGATACAATCATATGTGTCTTCAACCATTTTCCCATTTGTTATCTTGACATGATCAAATCACAATGTGATTCATGTTTTAGTTGTAGTTTGCATGTTTGCAGTAATACTTGGGAATAATCCTACATATTCTGGTGCAACTTTGTGCTAGGCTCGCCGCATTTGAAGGATGTATTCTACAGGATGGGTCTCTCTGACAAGGAAATTGTGGCACTATCAGGTGGCCATACTCTGGTAATTTCCTGTAACATTCACTTTTCTCTAGTAGTAGGGTAGCTGCCGTAGATGAGCACACACTGATTTTTCAGTTCAAAATCTTTTCCTTGCAGGGAAGGGCACATCCAGAGAGGTCAGGCTTCGATGGCCCTTGGACCAAGGAGCCATTGAAGTTTGATAACTCATACTTCGTGTAAGGCTCTGAACTGACAGTAGACTAGCATTGCTCTACACCTAGGATCTTACTTGGACCTTTCCTGTCATAATCATCCTCTTTACGGCGGACTATTTCAGGGAGCTGCTGAAAGGTGAGACTGAAGGACTATTGAAACTTCCAACTGACAATGCCTTGTTGGATGATCCTGCTTTCCGTCCCTTTGTTGAGCTCTATGCAAAGGTACCTCTCTTTCATAATTTGAAATTTGATGTGCTTATCATGCTTGCGTCAAATCTATTTTTCTACTAGACTTTAACACAAGGGAAGTACCTGTAAATTACCCACAAAATAGTCCCCATTTTCTTTAGAGAAAATTTTCACCAATATTTGAAATGACTAACATAGCAATTGAAATAACAGACATATCGAACGCTCAGTCTATCTCCATCAACTTTTTCGTTTGAATTCCAACGCTTTCAAAGTTAGTTAGCTTTGCATTCCGGATTTCATCTGCTGGTTTTTCGAATTTTAAGAGTTGGATAGTATTATTGGAATTGAGAACATCTTCAGACGCTGTCAACTGTAAAATTCTCTCTGTGAAATAGGGAGGGATTTGTAGTCAGATAACATGAATCAGGGTTCATCCAGTAAATGGTATTGTTTAGCACAGGTGCCACTGAGATAAGCACTCCACTGAGATGAGTACTTAACTTCTTTTTGAGGAGAAATGTCGACCTAACACATGATTTTTCTTAATATTCTCCTAAACTGGTTGTTATTAATAGTCGATGATTGAAGGGCTTTTCTTAACCAGATCTTTGTTAAAAAAACTCATCTTACTGAACATAGACCATTGCACCAGTTATTTTTGGAATTCCTAGTAGATAGCTAACCTCTAAAATCAGCATTTGGTAGATTCCTGTACTGGTATTTTACGAGTCAGTGAAGCTTCGTTGATTTGAATCAGCCTCCCTTTGTTTGATTTTATTGATCCTTCACTTCCCCGACGTGTCTAGATGAAGCATATAGGTTTCAATTTAATGCTTCAAGACTATCTTACAGCATCTAGGTCATATAAGCTCATCCATTAGAATTCTTGCACTATCTTGAGGACTAAGTTGAGTATCAGTCATGAAATAGAGCTCTTGGGTCCTCTTCGCGATGTTTCTTCTTGTTATATGATTTCCTAGTTGTCATAGTGATGTTCTTCATTACTGGTAATTTATTCTCTTAACCACGTGGAACTCTTGTTTTGGATAACTGGACATCCTTCCTTCTTTGCTTGCTCAGGGCATTCTTCAGAGGATACAATCATATGTGTCTTCAACCATTTTCCCATTTGTTCTCTTGACATGATCAAATCACAATGTGATTCATGTTTTAGTTGTAGTTTGCATGTTTGCAGTAATACTTGGGAATAATCCTACATATTCTGGTGCAACTTTGTGCTAGGCTCGCCGCATTTGAAGGATGTATTCTACAGGATGGGTCTCTCTGACAAGGAAATTGTGGCACTATCAGGTGGCCATACTCTGGTAATTTCCTGTAACATTCACTTTTCTCTAGTAGGTAGCTGCCGTAGATGAGCACACACTGATTTTTCAGTTCAAAATCTTTGCCTTGCAGGGAAGGGCACATCCAGAGAGGTCAGGCTTCGATGGCCCTTGGACCAAGGAAGCCATTGAAGTTTGATAACTCATACTTCGTGTAAGGCTCTGAACTGACAGTAGACTAGCATTGCTCTACACCTAGGATCTTACTTGGACCTTTCCTGTCATAATCATCCTCTTTACGGCGGACTATTTCAGGGAGCTGCTGAAAGGTGAGACTGAAGGACTATTGAAACTTCCAACTGACAATGCCTTGTTGGATGATCCTGCTTTCCGTCCCTTTGTTGAGCTCTATGCAAAGGTACCCTCTCTTTCATAATTTGAAATTTGATGTCTTATCATGCTTGCGTCAAATCTATTTTTTCTACTAGACTTTAACAACAAGGGAAGTACCTGTAAATTACCCACAAAAGTCCCCATTTCTTTAGAGAAAATTTTCACCAATATTTGAAATGACTAACATAGCAATTGAAATAACAGACATATCGAACGCTCAGTCTATCTCCATCAACTTTTTCGTTTGAATTCCTCAAATTAAATTAACAATGAAAATTTGACATAAACCTTGATTAGATGACATGGACATTCCCATTCATGTCGTCAAATCGCTATAAAATCCAACTAATCTAATTCCTTTAATCCAAATTTAATTTGATTCGTGGATTCAATGATTGTTGAAATTTTTTAGCGTAGTACTATTTTTATATTTTACACTATGATACCTTAACTTCAATTTTTAATAGATAGTATTCTTCAAAATTTACGCTTTGGTACCTAATATTTATAATAATATTTTAGTGTCTAATCTTTCCGAAATTTTCGTATTGGTCCAATGCTTAGATGTGATTTAGATGCATGAGTCAGTCCACTTCATAAGTTCACCAATTAATGAATCCACCAATCCATGAATCCGTGAATATAATCCATTTACCACATCTATCTCACTCGAGAGGGTTTATGTTTGGTTAGTTTTTACGAGTTAGTGCACTAATATGACTTATTCGAGCATAAAAAAATGTGACCAAGTGATTGGATTCTTCCGATATTTGGTGACAAAATCGTCAAGAATCGAACTTCATTGACCAATTTGTTAATGACCCCTAAGCTTAATCATCATTTACTTTATTTGACCCATGAAATACCTTGATGTATTAGTTTGACATGCTGTTCATATAGTGCTAGACTCGGTTCTTTGAACTCTCCCTCCTCACTGGTTTGGTAGCTAAACAACACTGGATGCTTAGATGATGTATATGCTACTCTTTACCATTTCCTTCCAGGACGAGGATGCTTTCTTCAAGGACTATGCAGCGGCACACAAGAGACTCTCCGAACTAGGCTTCACCCCAGCCTCCTCGGCTTCCAAGGCAACGGCCAAAGACGGCACCGTTCTGGCCCAAAGCGCTGTCGGAGTAATTGTTGCTGCTGCAGTGGTGATCTTGAGCTACCTGTACGAAGTCCGCAAGAGAGGCTGATAATAAAATATAAGTAGACCGACCGACCGACCGACCGACCAGCTAGAACAGGCCTTTTCCATTACACTAATAATTCCTATCCTAGCTACACGTTTCTTTACCTGATATGTGACTCAAATAAACTCCGTATTCTCTCCGGTAGCTTCATATTCAAGCCCCAAGTTGAATTGAATCACATGCAGATGCAATGCACTTTGGGTTTTCAACTGTCTTTGTATAAATATCCAGAAAGAACAACTGGCAAGCAGAATCACAACTCGGACTCGGAGCGTGTATCTGTCAATGCCGCTACCTAATTCCCATGTGGGTGAAACCGCAACTCCCTCTGTGTAGGCTGTAGATTGCAGGACCGCGCATTACCTAACCTTGTTTAGCATGGTGGCAATAATAAGTTGCAGTCGGATGGTGCCGTTTGTGATCTCATCATGCTTGCATTTATTTATATTTGTAAAAATGCTTCTGAGATTCTCAGCAAAGAAAATAACAAAAGTGTATTCGAGTGCAGCTAACCATTGTGCAGTCTATAATCTCAACTAGTGGATGTGTACATTAATATAGTTAGCTAAATTTTGTTTAATACAATGTAGGTAGTACTGGTACGTGTGATTAATGCATTTATAGTACCTCATGTTCTCGTAGAGTCTAATCATTTCTTTCTTCATTTGTTTGATGTTTCACAAACTAAAAGCGTAAGAAATACGTGTAAAATGTTTAATATGCGTATTCTAAGAGATTGGAACGATAGTGCATAATAATTTTTTATATATTTATACTCATCGCGTTTAAATTAGAAAATTTCAAATATATTATAATTGATACCGAAACAATACATAATGTTATATTACAATGATGATAAGCGGACAATGTTTTCCGTATTTAGGCTGTACAATATTTTTACAAACTATATATGCAGAGTATATAGTATATACTCATCCTAGTTTGTGTGAGGGTAATCGGACAGTGACTAATGACTATGCTCCCTCCCCTCCCTAGCACATGAACATGATGCATATGGTATGGTAGGTAGGACAATCTGGTTTGGTGTGCAAGGTAGATAAAGCTTGGGCCTTGGAGTCGCCCTCAGCTTTCAAAATCTTGCTATCAGTTTTCATTTAAAGTGCAGGGAGGGAGGTTGGGCAGTTACCTTACCTGGATTTAGTTAGGACGATTTAATAATGGCCAGTTTTCTGAGCCATTTGGGGACATCCCTTTCCTTGAGTTTGGTATAGGTGCACTCCGACTCAGTAAATTAGGTGGGTTCCTTTTTCTTTTTCTTGAGTTGTGGGTAGGCTAGGGATGGTTGGTTCTGAGCTTTAATGTGTGCCAGTGCATTGCAGTGCGGTGGTAATGTGTCTCCTCCTAACTCTCCTCCTTGAAAGCATTAATGAAAACGTGGGTCCTCTCCTCTCCTCTCCTCATCATCATCTTCTTCTTCCTTTTCCTACCAGAATTCTTCTGTTGATGTATCATATATGCGTGTGATGTTTCATTCAACTACATTAGAGACTAGATTTGAGAACGTACGATTCATTTCTACCTTGTAGGATCGAACGTACATCTTTCGAGCAAAAGCGCTAATTAATATCCTTGGTCATATCCTTGAGAGAGAGAGAGAGAGAGAGAGAGAGAGAGTTTGTAGCTCGTACAGAATCACTTATAACTCTTGCCACCGAAACCTACCCTTGTTTTGATGGAGCTTTGGCTGGAATATCTTAGATTTTCATCAAAACTGTACTACTCTCCTCTGCAGTGGCGGATATGATGGACACCCCTAAATTTTGGGAACACGATTATTCAACCCCGGTAGTAGTTTCGTATGAATAAACAAAATATAATTAGTAATTTGTGACACCTCTAAAATTTTAATAAATGATTATCTTACCCTCGATAGTAGTTTGCGTGATTAAAAAAATATAAATGGTACTCTGTGTTATTCAAATCTAGGACACTACTATTATTTAACATCTTCTCCATTAGGTTATAACTCATTTGTTGTTCTATTTTAAACACTATGTAATGGTGAAAACGCGATTTCTTATCCCTAGGGGTACCCTAATTTGAATTGATTTTATGGTAACGCTGCAAGTGTTAAAACCGTCTTTTCAACTTTGAATTATATCATGAACAAGGTTAGAAATTGAATATGCGATCTAGCTAGTAGGATATACCGTTTGTTGAGCAGTGTACACACCAAATCTATCTTATATTTTTTTCGAAATATGAAAACACATCGTGGCTTTTTGTCAACATTTATACTAATTGGATATTTTATTATTTATGTATTATTTAATTTAATTCAATTTTTGGAAGAGGACACCCTACAAAAAAATTCTGGATCCGCCACTGCTCCTCTGGCTGTCGTATGTCACATGGACAATTGCAGAAGCTAAACCTGTGAGGTGCAGGTTTTTGGGGTGTAGATCGGAGGCGATCCTAATCCAGTAATCCAATCCATTTCTCTTCTCCGTGTGCTGATTTGGTTTGGAATTTGGATACGGATCCCCCACAGCAACAACAGTGATATTATTATTATTATTATTATTATTAGTGAGGACTGAGGAGAAGACGGGATAGAGGCTATCCAAAACAGTGGGCCAGCGAGTATGGGCTGGGGGCCCACATGGGCATGGAGAGAGGAAGAATGGCTGGCCCAACCCCAAAGGTGGGGGTGGGAAGAGGGTAGGTACGTTACGTCAGGATTTTATTTTTGTAACCGTACGAACTAGGAATAGGAATTAGGAAGGAGTGGACTCTCTCTCTCTCTCTCTCTCTCTCTCTCTCTCTCTCTCTAGTCTCTACCACGGCACTAATACTAGTAACAGTCTGTTCTCTTTGATGGATTTCGTGTGTTGATAGGTTTGATTTCACAGTGAGATAGCTAAGCTAAGCTAAGCACATGTTCATACCAAACACAAGATTATGCGTCTACCTAAGCACATGACTTTCACGTGCTTCCTTAGCTGCCTCTCTTTCTTTCTCCCAAACCCAAAGGGGCAAGGGAAGGAAGGAAGGTAAACGGACCATCGTCGGCCCTTCTTCTCACCAAAAAATTTAGCCCCATCAATGGAGCCACTGACAGACTTTTGGAATAATGAACATGTTATGTATAGTATGAGAAGCCATAGAGTTTTTTTTGCCCCCCGGTAGAAAATGCAACAAAAGCTATGGAACTAAAAAAAATCTCATTTTCATTCTCAATACGCGTATATATATAGCTTTTGTATGTTATAGATAGATATAATAATCCAACGAAAAGATCAAGACCCATAAGATATCATCATCGAAGAAACGTGTTATTCGAATTTAATCGAGAAATGCAGATCGAGCGAGGTTCTTAATCCCATTTTAAATGTATATGAAATTAATAACAAAAATCACAAGTGAACAATACAGTAATGGTTGAGAGAAGTTCGTCTCCAGCCTAAAAAAGCTTCCATATGCGCGCAATTCACTAACTGCCCACCAAAAAACTCTAAGTATACAATATGAGTTGTATTTCTTTTTTTACGAGTGCCTCAACAAAAAAAGAGCGCAATATGAGGAATGTTGCGCGTTACAAGACTTGTAACCGATATTTTTTCGTAGTACAATATTCATCACCACAACTACTACACTATATCTGCGTGGAAAACACGGGCTATATTTTCAAATTTCCTCGTGTAATTTGTATAATAATTAATTCTTGAAGTAAATGAAAATTTGAAATCATATAAAGGACGGAACAAATCAACTTCTACCGTTTGTAAGTTTGTATTTTGTCAACTCCAATCTATTGGTATTAAAAAAAATCATATTGGTGCAAAAAGCTAGATGGTGATGCAGATTTTTGGAGGTTATTAGCCAAATTAAGTGGCGGTAAATTAGAGGAGATTGGAGAGGAGGGAGACAGACAGACAGACAGACAAGAGGGGTGAGTTAGAGTATGTGCCCAACTCACTGCCAATCAATAATATTCTGCCCGACTCTCTCTACGTGGTTCATGCACAATTGCATATTCATTAATATTTGTGATATTATAACATACCAGCTTTATTATATTCTGAATAGTTAAACTCAGCGGTTTAATATATGAATGTGTAGTTCATCATAAAAGCTCCTAATTTTTTTGGGTAATTTCTTAGTATGAGTAGAAAATTTTAAGCAAATTGTAATATTCCGCACATTTTCCCGATAAATATTGTCTGTTTTGGGCCTAGATCCTTACGAAGTTACGATTGTTGCATATCAATGTGACTTTTCATAAGGCCACTCATCTGTACAGTGCTATGCATGTCAGTGAACACATTTAACTTCCGAATTTTTACAATAATTCTTTCATTTCACTCAAAAACTTGTTGTGTCAGTTAAGGTTCATTTATTGTTTACGAATCATGGATTCTTCCGTATTTTGTCGAAATGAGATTATGTTACACAAACCATTAAATGTTTTCACACAAAGACATTTGTTTGTCTGTTTTTTTTTTCTTCTTGTGGTGCAAGAACAAATATAATACGGCAGATACGATTTAGTTTTGTGTACATAATTACCTATACAGTTCATATATCTGTCCATTTCCATAATTAATAACTCTCATTTTCCACTTGGCTCGATACAAAAGAAAATGCTTTCTTTTCCTCTCATTTTCGACAACAACCTTCTTTCCCATCCCATGATCTCCCCTCTACCATCCACTTGAACTTCATGAGAGAGAGAGAGAGAGAGAGAGAGAGAGAGAGAGAGAGAGAGAGAGAGAGAGAGAGAGAGAGAGAGAGAGAGAGAGAGAGAGAGAGAGAGAGAGAGAGAGAGAGATCCTTTCCTCCATAACCACATGTGGTGGTGAGTAACACCAATGTGCTAGCCTAGGCCAATTCAAAACTAATGAGAGGAAAGGAAAGGGAAGCGGTAGATAGATAGATCAGTATGAACGAAAAAACCATTAATAAAATAAGTCTGAACCCAACCTTTCCAGTCACATCCTCACCCTAACCCTTGTCATACTTTCAAGCCTTTTGAAGGTAAGGTGCAACTCAACCTCTCAAGTCGCAACACACTAACATGTTATGTATAAGCTTCATTACTAAAATACTGTTCAAAATTTTGGATTTCTTAGAGTGGCAAATGAATTGGATTCATGTATTGGTTGATTGTTGGATCAAATGAAATGGTGGATTCATGGATGGGATCAAATGGATTGGTGGATTCATGGATGGGATCAAATGGATTGGTGGATTCATTTATATATAGATCCAAATGACATCCAAGTCTTAGACTACTATGTAAATTTTGAAAAGTTTATGTACTAAAATGTCATAATAGAAATTTTAGATACCGAAATGTAATTTTCCAATGATTTTTTTGTCTAAAAAGTAAATTCTAAGTACCAAAATGTAAAAAGTATATGTACTAAACTATAATGTTTTCATATGGATCAAGTTATGAATCCACCAATCTACTTGAATTTGGATCAAATGGATTGAATTAGTTGGATATTTTAGTAGATGGATAGGAATGGATTCTCGGATTTGGGTACCAAATTGCCACTTCTAGGTTTTCGTAGTGGTTGTCAGCTGATCATAATATAAATATCAAATGACATATTATTGTGTGTATGGTATGTCATATATCTTGGAGCATACATCATATTTCAAACATAACCAAC